GGTTCACAATGGCAAACAGGTTACAGATTGCTCCAGTGAGGCCTTTACAAGTAGGTGGTTGTGATGGGAGAAACTCACAACCTTCAGGAGTACCTGTCCAAGGCAACACTCGCATTGCGATCCAGCCCAACTCAGTCTCTGGGACTAATGATCATTTCAAAGGAAATCTGTAAAAAGTACAGATTTCAAATGCCAGGTTTTTAGCAGATACCTAAATACTCCTTTAAAGGACAGGAAATGGTTGAAAGCACTTAAATACTTTTCTGATGGCTCTGCCTTAACTTTCCCAATGCAGTGGACTTTATTATGCAGAATACTTGAGTACTGCTCTTTAACATTATATTAAATATTTTTATATGTTACTGCCATTCCATATCATATTGAACCAGACACCGAGCACCCAGAATGATTTGAGTACTCTGAAGTAGAAGATCACACTTTATAAATACCAGCCATCACTAAGTCACTGGGGTTGGAATTTTAGTGCATCATTTTCAAACACTGATTCAGATTTTTCCCCCAAATCCAAAGATAAGCTGCCTCAAACCAAGTACCAGTATGCTTTATGCCCCACATCTACAGCCCACTGTGACAAATCCTTACAGAAAAACGAGACAACAACAGGAACGCTCCGAGCTGAAGATTCCATTTGCTCCTCTGATCCCTTTGCTGCCATGGGAAGAGCACCGTCTCCACATGTCAAAGCACTGCCCCACAAAAATGAAGGGGATAAAACTGGCGTTCTGAAAGCAGAGCAGATAATCACAGCAAACATCCAATAAATTCTAGTCCCTGTCTATGAGTGTTTTGTCTTGTGGCACAGCATGAGTCAGATTTCAGCCCTTAAATTGAAATCAGCAGTGAAGTGAAGTGAAGTGTCCACAATCACTGGTGTAATTGTACCTGGCAAGTTTAGGGGAATATCTGTGGATCTGACCCTTAGCTCAGGTCAGAAGACACATTAGAAATGCATTAGGGAGTACACGTGTGACTTGACCCTCACCCCATCAACAGGCTCCTGACAAATAAAGGCAATGCTAATTAGCTCCTAATTGAATCCATACGACAGATACCAGGACTAGGAGAAGAGTGTCTTACAGAGAAAGATTTCAAGAACAAAATGTGTGCAGGTTAAGAAAGGAGGTTACCAGAAGACCTAATTACGGCTGACAGATACCTAAGGGGGTTCTTTTTACCATCAGCAGTTAGAAATCTGTCCGAAATACGCAATAAGGACAAAGCCCAAAGGCATAAGCTGACACGGGAGGAAGGGCAGCTCGGAGGCGCCGCCACAAGCGGCTCCACCAGCCGGAGGACGGTCGCTATATGGAACGCGCGATCTACCGGGGCTCCTTCAATCCCACAGAGCTCGGCTCCGAGAGCTCCGTGCCGCTGTCCCCGGGCGCAGCTCGGGTGCCGCAGCCCCGCGGTGCCCCGCACCCGGCTCTGCGGCCCTGCACCGCCACCTCCTGGGGGCGGCGGGAGCGGCCCCTCCCGGCCCCGAGGTTCCCACCGCAGCTCCCCGGGAACGGGAGAAGAAGCGGGCCGGGCGGAGGCCAGCGGGCTGCGGCGGGATGCTCCCACAGGGCTCGGGCTGCAGCACCGAGGGCCAGGTTGAGTCATCGCGTGCCCTCCCTTGGGAGAGCTGGGAAACGTGATGTTGCAAACCGATTTTCCATTTCACGTTAAGAGGGCAGATTTTCAAAGCGCCCGTTAAAGATGCCCGTCTAGGGTTACAGAGAGTCCCACATGTGCATTAGATGGGATGGAGGCCGTTTTGAAAGCTCTTCTCTGCCACTCAACCGTTGGGTGGTTTTTAGGATTTAGGGCTCGTTTTTCACATTTTCCAGATAAACACATATTCTGCGGTCATAATGAATAATTGATTGTTATCATAATATAGTCCATTGTGCAGCAAAAATAAACACTGAGAAGCATCTCAGCGCCGGCAGATAACACTGCCACGCTCCCTTCTCTTTGTGTAACGTGACGCTGCACTGGAAGCGCTGCACGCTCAGATGTGCGCATCCGAACAAATGAGAACGTTCTTACTTTGGGATGAACCATTTCCAGGGTACTGAGCGGCACTCAAAAGTGTGAAAGAAATAGATTACAGACCCACCCCAATTAGCAGACTTGCAGTCAATGAAGGCTTTTCGGACACAGTTCCTGCTCCCTACAGCCCTTACCTCCTGACTAAGGGCCTCCAGCGCACTCCGTGGATTTGCCTTGGGTAAGGCACTGCTGTCTCCCGCACCGCACAGGCACTGAGCACACGCTGTTCCAGCAGACATGTGCAGAAAGCAGCAGCCAGCAGAGGCCTAGCCATGCTGCTCACTGCTCCGAGCAGACATAACAGCGTGGCTCGTGCTGGCAGTACCTGGAGCATCCACCTTGCTGTCAGGAGCACCTCAGCTCGATCCTCCCTCATCTCTGAGCATCAGCCCCGTGTCACAGCCCCAGGCTTGCCTCCTGCTCTCATGTTTAATCTCCACCTTGCATGTGAGAAGCTGTGGTTGCTTTAATTACTCATTGCACACCCCGATTGGTTTGCTCTGATCTCCTCGCCACCAGCTTCTCCTGACTACCGAGCAGTTTAACCTTTCAAGCACCGTATGCACAAAACAAAAATAGATTGGAAATAAATGGCAGCCCGAGCACTCTGGGGAGGCAGAACTTTCTTCCACCTGGCCGGTTCTGTTTGCTTTGGAAGTTGCTCTTTCACCTGGCAGTAATGGCAATCCGCATCGAGAGACAGATGCAAAAGTGTTCCTCCAATTATATAATCACTGCAGCTGATAAGGAGGGAGCAGGATTTAGGTTGCCATAGTGTTGGCATATTGCTATGGAGGCTGAGATCTCCGGACACATTATCAGCTCTGGCCCAGGAAGAGCGGCCCTATTATGCTTGCTGGATGCGTGTGCTTGACAGGAGCACTCAGGATCAGGGGCTGCTTCTTCCCTTCCCGCCTCATTGCCATAGAGGAGCTGGGGGTGCTAGGCCTTGGGGTTTTTTTCATTTTAGCCTCTATCTCTTTGTCAGGAAGGGGTAATGTTCCCAATGAAACCCACTGCCGCCCACGACCAAAGTCTGCCCCAGCCCCAACATACGTGCCCTGGCCTTTTGATAGGCGGGGGTCCTGCTGGATTGGGGTGCAGGGTCGGAGGGGGGGAGGGGGGGTCCTGCTTGGTTTGGGGCCCTGTTGGGAGGGAGACGAGCCAGTACCTCGTTCCATCTGGCCGAGGGGAGGCAATGGCTCTGCTGATCTGCAATAGCGACGTGCATGTGCGGGAGGGGAGGGGAAGGGAGGGGTGGCCGCATGCAGGTAACGGAGAGCAGGAACTTCGGGGAAAGCGGAGCCAGGTGGGGCGGGGGAGGCTCCCGGAGTTGGGACAAACAAAGTTGTGCCCTGGGGACGGCCGACACGGCCGGGCAGCGCGGCGCGGGGCTGTGCCCACGGTGCGGGCGATGCTCGGAGGAGACGGGTGGGAGAAACGCTGCCCGAAGTAAAGCTCAACTTTAATTGCAATGCGGGCGCTCCTCGCCGTCTCCATTCTCCCGGGACGTGCGCGTGTAAATAGATGATTCTCCTTCCCCTCCCCTTGCGCGTGAGAGACGAGAAAGGAAGGGCTCCTCTCCCGGTGCCCGGGGAAGCCGTGCCCGGCCGGGGCTCGGAGGGCCGGGGAGGCATTAAGCGGCACGGCCGCCCGCCCCCCAACGCGCCGATGTCCCCGTGCCACGGGGCAGCCCCGCGCCTCCGCTTCGCCTCCGGCCGCACCGCACGGCCCCCTCCCCTCCGAGCCCCTCTCCTTCGGAAGAAGACGACGGCGACTCACGGCAACTTTTCCTCGCCCGCGGCCTCGCGACACACCCAGCCCCGGGGGCGCGGGGGGCTCCCGCAACGCCCCCGCCCGGGGTGTCCGCCTGCCCCGCGGGGACGCGATGCCGGGGCCGTCCCCTCCGGCCCCCGCGGAGCCGAGCGCGGACAAAGGCTGCGGGAGAGAATGGTCGCCGGCTCCTCCGGGGCGAAGCTCGGGCTTACCTTGATGGTTTTCCTCGGGAATGTACATCCTCTTGTTTTCATTGACCATTTAAAACGAGTCCAGGTTAATCCCTCCGCAAATCGGCTCGGTAAAATTCGAGGAAGAGTGGAGCTGCAGAATTTCCCCTTTGATTATTACCTGATTCCCATTATTGCATCAAACACCAAAAACTGATCCTTTCCACTACTGCCTCCTTTAGTGAAATTGCAATGCATCCTCAGTACATCCGGGCCCCTTCCAAGAATTTAGCACAGCACCTCTGGCTGTTAAACCATAAAAAAGAACGAGAAGGGGGGAAACGCGAGAGAGAGGGCGAAAAAAAAAAAAAAAAAAGAAAAAAAGAATAAGGAAGAACGGCGAAAAGCAAAAGCATCCAGAGCAAACCACGGAGGGTTAAACGTCTCTTTAAAATCCACCAACTACAAAAGCAAGAAAAGGAGGAGGAAAAAAAAAAAAAAAAAAAAAAAAGATGTTCAAACGCTTCTGCTCCTCCTCTTCAAAGCCATTCGGAGCGCGTTGTGCTGGCAGGGAGCTGTTTCTGCAGAGGAAGAGAGCCCAGTCCCAGCCCCTCACTCCCTCCCCTCCCTCAGCGCTCGCTCCCCGCTGCCGCCTCTCTCCGCCGCCACGGCCGCACTGAACGCTTCCAGATGTTCCAGCTGCGGCGGCGGCGCGCAGCCCCCCGCGCACAGCTCTGCCAGCCGCCGGGCTGGCCGCTCGCTCGCTCGCAAAGTTTAACGCGCTCCGTGCCGTCACCGCGCCCGCCGGAGCCTCGCCACAGACATGACGTCAAGGAGAGGCGAGCCGGAGCCGGCCGCCTCGACAAGTGGGGGACAGCGGGGGGACAAGAGAGGCCGGGGGTGGCAGGCGGGGCGATGCCTCCGGCCCCGCTCCGATCCGCGGCTTCGGCCCTGCGGTTCCGCACGGAGCGCGGCCGTGAGCGGAATGGCGAGGAGCGGGGCGGGCGGCGGCGCTCGGCGGGGGCTGCGGTGGCCCCGAACCGCGGCGGGGGAGGAGGAGGAAGAGGAGGAGGAGGAGGGAGCCGGGCTCGGTTGCGCGGCCGGGAGGATGCACAGATGTTTAAACAGATTAATCGAGCTCGGATTTGCCAAATCCTCGGTGGAAACGCCAAAGTGCTCCGCCGGTATCCCACCGCTCGCCTTAATTATCCCTGTCATTTGGCCCGCTCTAATTGAAGCCTCCGCAGAGAGCAAAAATGACTTCTTTCAAACGAAACGCGAACTGAATGCAGCCCGTGTATCGCGGAGCCGGGCTCCCCGAGCTGCCATGTTCAACGGACTTCGACAATACAAACTGCCACAGCCCGAGAAGCCGACCCGGCCCGGCCGAGCGCCGAGTGGGGATGGATGCCCAGCGCGCCGCCGCCCAGTGCTGCTCGTGGCCCGGAGCTTCCATCGGACAGCCCGTGTGTGGAGCTTCGACAGTGGTTCTTCCCCTTCCTGTCCAGTGGTTTTCCATTCAAACTAGGAGAAGAGTGTTTCTGATCGAAATACTTTATAGTTGCTAATACCTCTATGAATGAATTTAGAAGGAACTAAGTGCCTTCCCCGTACGTGGATTCCAATGGGATTTATCAACTATCTGTCTCCTTTTGAAGCCTTTTCCCTGCCACTTTCAGGTCTCTTGGATGAAACTCCAAACACAGTAGAAAACGGCAACACCTAACAGCTTGAGCCAAAGCATCAACAAAACACATCTGCTTGGAACTACAAGGGAAACTGGAATAGATGCAAAGCGCTTACCAAAGACTGGATGCAGCCAAAGCACTTGTCCTAAAGAAAGGTCACTGAGGTTTCTAATAACTACCAGTCATCCCCACTGCTGCCTTAGATGCTATCCAAAAGGTAATTTGGCAAAACCGTATTGCCATGGGCAGCACGTAGAGGTGCAGCTTTATTTCTGAGTAAGAAGGAAGAGTTCCTCCATGCAATTAAAATACTCTGTCCTCTATTGTTGGTTTTTCTCTACTAATGTCATGTGCACTTATTCCATTTAAGTTATGAGAACAAGCGAGATCACATCCAGAGGTTGAATGGCAATATATTAGCTTTCATATTCAATTCTTTCTCTTGTTAAGAAAGAAAAATTTTCCCTTCACCGCTATAAAAGGACAGCAAATCCTTCCCTACCTAAATGTACTGTGTAAATATACATTTCATTTTTCTCCTCGCAATCAGAAATTCTTGCCATTTTGGATGGCGCTAATTCCATTTTCTCAAGCCATGAGTCAACCAAGAGTTGAATGATTCACCCTGGCATGGACATAATCACTGGGGAAGCAATTAAGTGCACGCTGATCACTCTTGCACAGAAATCAAACACTGGTGGGGCAGCTGTTAATATATATATAAATATATATATATTTGCCCTTCTTGGGTCACACTCTCAGCTAGCTAAGGGTTTATGTACAGCATTAGTTAAACAGCCAACATCCACATAGCCGTGCTTTATGCCAGCTCACATCCGCACGCAGCCACATACACAAGCTGTCCCTGCCACCTACAAATCTTTCTCTCCAATCTTTCTCCCTCTCTCTCTGCCAAGCTCCCCCAGTGGGACACAAGTTGGGCCAATTACCAAAAATCAAATGTAGAAAAAAATAGATCAAGAAACAAGAATATTAGCTGGCATTAATTTCTTCGGTATAAATAAAATCGTACTATAGCTTGTGGTTTCTTTATTCAGCATTTCTGATGCAAAGAATTTTCTATACGGAGAAGTGGAAAGGAACTGATGGTAGGATAAAGCTGGAAAGATCCTGCTAATGAAGGACAATCAGGTGATGTAACAGTGACCATTGTACATTCCCCTAAAGCCCTGCTATGTCAGAGTACACTGAAAAGAAAAACATTGTAGAAACAGGTTTGGTAGAAGTGGCACTTTGAAGTAAAGGTGCTTCTACAGTTTTTCTTCATGTGAGTACTGAAATTCATGTTTAACAAGAATTCTCACAGGAGAAAACTCAAGGTGTTACTCTCTGCAGAAAAAGGAAATAGTCAATTGGCTTCACGGTTGTTTCTTCCAATACTTCTCACCTTCATTCCATTTTTTCTTGGAAGCAGTGCAGAAGGGACTTTATTAGATTCCAGAGCAGCAGCTTGGAGATTTGTGCAAAGACAACAATAGGCCTTCCCTGCATGGCCTCTGATCATGTACATTCTGGGCCAGGACTCCCAAAGCGAAGCATCCAGCCCAAGTAAGTGAGAAGGCTTTCTACTACCTTTCAAGGACCGATGCTCTAAAAACCCTTAAGGCCTTCTGATGTGGGAGCACATTTAGCCTTCTTCAGGCTTTGATCCCCACCTGTGCATCCCAAAGATGAGCGTACAAGTGAAATCTTAAAAAAAAACATGAAGTAATAGTTTGTTTGGTACAAAAAGAATTGGGATGATCTTAGAGCTTGCCTGATATGGCAGCCAGCAGATTGAAGGTAAGATGGAGACCGACATGATCAGAGACCAGGGTATCTCATACCAAGCTCAATTTGTGCTCATTCCTTCCAAGCAGATGACCTACGTTGGACAAATTATCCTGCATTCAGCCTGAGGCCTGCTGTAAAGAGGAGACACTAGTTTTCTAATCCACAGGAATGCTAAGAAGAGAAAAATTGTTCTGCAATCACTCTGAACAATAGTAGAAAGTACCAAGACAGAGATTTCTGAGAAACAGCTATTTAAAGTTACAAAGTGTCAAAGATGATTTGTAGAGTGTGAAATATTAACATGCAACAGTCCATTCTGCATGTAAGGAATTTTCTGTTGTTGTTCTGTGTACAGTGCAGTACTCTCTCCCTCCTATCCAGCCATATATAGAGTAGACTGGGCACAACAGCTTCTTCAACATCCAGTATCAGAACCCAAGTCCATCTTCAGAAAAGAAATCACCCAAATAGGTTGTGGAGAACATCTCCACGTAACTTACAAAATTATTTGAAAGGCTCTTCTAAGCAGTCTCAGTACTTCTTAAATGATCTAGGGCTCTCATTGGGCCTACTGCATAAATTACTTAGCTATACTATTGCAGTAGGTTGTGCTCGTGGTATTTTGACAGTTGTGCCTTGTGCTATAAAATAAGATAAATTATTCAAAAGTGCAAAAGAAATATATTTATCCCCAGAAATAATATTAAGGTTCAAAATACAATTGTGAAATCTTTTCAGGGCCAATATAGAGAAACACCGACAGAGATCTTCATTACCTTGCTGCAAGTAGTCAGCAGGGACAGGGAGGTGATTGCCCCTCTCTACTCTGCTCTTGTGAGGCCCCATCTGGAGTACTGTGTCCAGGTCTGGAGCCCCCAGTACAAGAAAGACAGGGAGCTGTTGGAGAGGGTCTAAAGGAGAGCCGCAAAGATGGTCAGGGGACTGGAGCACCTCCCCCATGAAGACAGGCTGAGGGAGCTGGGCTTGTTCAGCCTGGAGAAAAGAAGGCTGCGCGGTGACCTCATTGCAGCCTTTCAGTACCTAAAGGGAGCCTACAGACAAGAGGGGAATCAACTCTTTGAGAGGGTAGATAACTGCAGGACAAGGGGAAATGGTTTTAAGTTGAGGGAAGGAAGATTTAGGTTGGATGTCAGGGAAAGTTCTTTACCAAGAGAGTGGTGAGGTGCTGGAACAGGCTGCCCAGAGAGGCTGTGGATGCCACGTCACTGGAAGTGTTCAAGGCCAGATTGGATGGGGCCATGGGCAGCCTGGTCTAGTATTAAATGGGGAGGTTGGTAGCCCTGCATGTGGCAGAGGGGTTGGAGATTCATGATCCTTGAGGTCCCTTCCAACCTTGGCCATTCTGTGATTTTATGATTCTGTGAAGTGATTTTTAACCCACAGATTTAACTTTTCACACCTCCACCAACTAATAGAGAAGGCTTCCCATAAGAATCAGCACTTTCTTGCTCTGAAAACTATGGGATATTTTTGTCACTGATATAAATAGATGAGATCTAAATACAGTGCAACCTTTGCATGAAGACTTTGACCTTCCTTTCTTCAAAGGTCAACGTTAGTAATTCTGTTTTCTATCTAGTGTCTCTTTCCTTTGGAGCACTGAAACCTAAAA